CAAACCAAGGTAATTCTTGGAGCTCGTCTTTCCCGTTGTCTGCTCTTCCCCGTGCATCCAGCTGCTCCGAAGATCTCTCAGATCTTCTCCTCCTCTGGCCCATCTCTCTCATCTCCATGCATGGATGAACAAGAGACGGAGAGAGACAGAGATGCAAGCATCGAAACTAGGTAGGTGTGGCCACGTGAGGTTCGTCCGTCCTGCTGATCTTCCTCCCACCTTACTTGACCATGGAACCTTTAGAGCTAAAAGGCACCGGGCACTGGTTAGATTAGGCTACTTGTTAATTAACAATTGGCATCGCGATTAGACTAGACCAGTTGATTACTCACAATCAAACAATCAGTATCGAGATGTCAAAGGCAGGCACCTTTAGCGGGATCGATACTTTTCTTTTAATCTATCTATTCAATTCAGTAGCAGCGTAATCAGAAGACGCCACTTGTTTCCCTCGCTTCAACGGCGCTGTCACGGTTTCAGACATGTTTATATTTTCTTCTTTTCACCCTTACTTTTTGATTAAACTAATTATCTGTTTCTGGTCTTCGTTTAAGTATCCTTTCTCGCTCCTACAATTTTTTCGCGTGTGCCATGTGTTCCCGGCAAAGTTCCCTGTCCCTTTCAGGAACTCCGGACGGTTCCCATTTTTCTTTCTTTCATAAAAGTTCCATTTTGATGTTTGGAGAATAGTGACGTACATGTACTGCGAACTATTTGATTTGACTCAAGAAGAAAAAATGTTCGGTTTGTTCGCTGGATGGTTTATGGGTTGATAAGTCCGGCTGGTGCTCGTTTGTTGTGAGAGGAAAATACTGTTGGCTGGCTGATAAGTCCTGTTAAAACCAACAAGCGAGCAGTGAACATTTTTTTCTCCAGTCTCCTCGGTCTTCAGAGCTGTGATGTGATTTGTCCAGATACCTAAAAAACGTACCAAATCCTATCTTTTTGTCCTACTCATTGTTTGGTTCCCATGCTTCCATAATTTATATGGCGTGTGAATTTTAAATGAAGAAAAGAAAGGAAAATTATGGATCATGGATTACTGACTCATGTCATAACATTGACTTTTTGTGCAGGGTTGTTATCTGTCTTTGTAGCCGAAGAAACAATCCTGAAAAAGAATGGAGAGCTCCTCAGCTAGGAGCAATGTTTCTGAGGGGAATCACCTGGGTTATGTGAGAAGCACATCTATGGATTCCACTGGTCCTCCGTTAGCTAATAGGTCTGGCTCAATGTTAAGCAGGAGAAGTAGCAGACAGGGCTCAAGGGGATCCATCAGCCTCTCAAGGGATATGGGGGACTCCATACTGAGCTCGATGAGGCATTCTCTTCAGTCAGCGGATCAATTGCTAGGAGACATCGATAGCTCAGTTCTGGCTCAGCTCATCGAAAGTGGTCGTGTTCTATCACCCGAAGGCAATGTTGATGAGGATACAGCAAGAATCTCTGAGCATCATAAGATTGGCCCTCTTCCAGATGATGCAATAAAGCAAAACAGCAACAAATTTGCATCAGCACCTGTATCTTCAGCGGAGACAAAAGATACTATTTCTAACGTCCTAGCAGATTCATCTACCAAGGTAAAGATAGTAGTTGAGTTGAGCAGCTGCTTATCCATTGATATATTGCTGAAAGGTTGTATTTTATGCTATATGTGCTAACATAACAATGCTTTGGTTTGCCTCTAGGTTGAACCATATAAGCTTTCTCTGAGGCTCGACTATGCTGCTTACATGATCCATTTAGCTGTCTTTGGCTTTTTCGGGGTAACTCTCCAACATCTTGCATGAGGTTCTTTGTGGTAGCTCTTACTTAATCTATGCTGATCTAATATAATGTGGCAACACTTGGTGTTTCATGCTTTTACTAATGGAGGTCCTGGACCATTGAAATTTAGAGAAATCTTACATTGATACTTTTTAGCACATACTGTACTAACTTAGGTGTCTGCCAGCACCAAGTACTGATGTGTGGATGTCTAGATCATTGAAGGATCCGGCAAGATTGCTATTAGAGGATGATTACCTATCTTGCATTATTCCAGTTCCCTTGGACTAATTATGCTTTTAATAACTAATCAGGTATTCACAAGGTATGGGCTCCAAAAGCTGTTTGGCCCAGACTGCTTGGCACTCACCTCAGACCAAAGCCCGCTTTACCCTGACCTTCCATCTAATATGGTATGTGCAATCCTTTTAGTGTTAAAGTTACACCTTGAGTCGTAGAGAAACTACAGGGGATTTTATATGTACTAACTCATGTTGATTGCCAAATTTCTTGGGCCAGCTTGGATCTTTCTTGATGGGCTGGTTTGGTATCATATTCAAGGCTGATATACGATACATGTCTGACCATCTTATCGTCGGAATCACAACTGGATACATGGGAAGCCTTACAACCTTCAGTGGGTGGAACCAGAAAATGGTTGGTTTGTCTTCCAAAGGCCACTGGGTATATGCTATAGCGGGCGTAGTACTAGGTATCTCATCATCATTTTTATGACAAAGTGCAATATGTCCTAAATTAGATATTATCAAACCAAAAATAGGTAGAAAATAATCCTTCTGATGCTAACAACATTGATTCAGGGATGTTCATTGTCAATGAGTCCATCACGATTGGTGCTGAGACGGGTGAGCGCCTACGGAGTTTGATCCTGAAATACATCAGGGAGAAGAGTTTGATAGGTCACAAATATGACTGGGAGCACTGGAGGGTGGATACCAGGACTAAGCAGTTTGTGCTTTTGTCAGTGATGATAATTTTGATGTCTTTCTTTTGGATTTTGAGCATAGTGTTGACTGTAGTAAAGATGCATAGTCTTGCTGACGGTGCTGTCCTTTGGATGGGCTGCTCGGTAGCACCTCCAGGAGTTTGGCTACGCTGGTACCTGGCAAGGCTCAATGGCCAGGGAATTGGCAAGCAGAGATCCTTGAAATGGCTGCCCATTGGGACCCTGGTAGCCAATGTTCTTGCTGCAGGCATCATGGCCATTCTTGCTGTAACCTCCAAAGCGGTATGGCCAAATAATTTTTCATACAAATTCACGATTTGTAGTGGGTATATTGACTCTTCCATACATTAGCCTGTATATCTGATTCGTTTGATTTTTCTTATAGGTACATACAGAGCGATCGTCAACTATTATTAGTGGAATACAGCTTGGCTTCCTTGGTTGCTTGAGCACAGTGTCTACTTTTGCTGCTGAAGTGTATACAATGAGAAGAAGCGGGCAGATTGCCAGGGCCTTTGTTTATGCCGCATCCACTTTCCTGCTTTCTTTTGTGCTGGGAACTCTAGTGTATTCTGTGCCAGTTTGGGAAAAGCATTATAAATGACCTCCTGCAACTTCCAGGTCAACATATTAGCAGATGGCTCAAATGTGCAATCAGAATTTTTCAAAAACATACTCTGTGTTTTTACATGTTGTATTAGTTTTGTCCTAAGTTAAATTGATAGTCAAAGTTAAGATTTAAGAATGTTTAACTTAAGAAAAAAACTAATACGACTTGTAAAAAAATGGAGGGAGTACAAGATCGTGTCCCTGTACTAAGCAAGAACATCAAGATCTGAAAAAGTACAAGATACAGAGCGAAGAGCTCGAAGGTTCACAAATATGGAAGAGAGCACCAAATATGCAATTTAATTGCACAAATATTTGCTGAATGGACCCAGAACCATCTATATACTTGGCTAGGAAAAACAGAGTAAACTCTGCTTAGTAGAATATGTAGTGGTATAGAACAATTTTTGTCTTGGAGAATGGAGTACATGTATGTTCAAAATGAGCGCACATATAGTATCTGTGAACTAAAATGGTATCATTAATGTATGGGATTTGAAATGTACATATATGAATTTGATTAGTGTGGGATTAGCTTCACTTGTATTCTCATGCTGTCTCATGTAAATGTAGGACATCTAGACATGCCTTTTTCTAGTTATTGACCTATTGGCTTAATTGAATAAAACCATTTGCTTTTGACAGTGTGTTGATTCTTTGTTTCAAGTGGCATGTACTCTTGTGAAAAGAAATATTATAAAATGGATGAAAGGATATATTGTTTTTGTGATGTTGAGAAATGTTTGCCAGTGGTACATGCATATACGGTAAGAATTCCAAAGTGTACGTCTTTACATCTAAGAAGGGTATATAGAATATAATTGTTATTGCTCTTAATTTGAGGTTTCCTTTTCTATGATCGTCAGGATGTGGCAGAAAAATATTCGGTGATCAACAATGTAAATACTTTTATCCAGATTCCTGAGCCAGCTGACATGCAATCTGTCGAAGAACAGAACGATCTCCTTAAGGATTAAAGAGTAGCTTTCTCTTTTTTTTGGAGGATCAGTGGCTTGTCACATCTTGTTCCCTTATTCAGAACAAAAGATTTATGCAAATGGTCCAGAAGTATATCATAATTTGCAATCAAAGTGATTATTTGTTTCAAGTACCACAAAAACATAATTATATTCTCTTGCTGTAATGAGAGAAAAGAAAATGAGAATCTGTACAGCATTCCTGAATGGATTCTTGGAATACATACAGCTATAACATGTATATAAAATTATTGCACAAAAAAATTGAAAAGCCTGCATCGTTCTTAAGAAGATTAGTTGGGAGATGATGCAAAATTCCCTGTTCCTTCTGTATGTTAGCATGTGATGTGACAGCACATTGTTCGCTTGAGAAAAGCTGCAAATCTACCTTTTATTCCCCATCAACTGGGAAGACAAACAGCAGGACATCATTCATTTGAGAATATTCCTTGAACAATCCTTACAATGATCTATTTCTTCAATTGTGCCGAACACATCATAATTCCGATGTCCACTTGACCCCCTCATTGAGGTTTCTTTTGGATCAATACAGTCATGGACTCTGCAGGGATGCAGTTGTTGTCGTCTTATCTCTGCTTATTGAAATGAATGGCTCCTGTGCATCGAATAAGCATGACCATCCTTCAACCTCATAAGCCAAACTAAGAACAACCATCCATTCATTCTGGATGGTCCAATCTAGCCAGTTGCTCCTCTACCTTATTCAACAATTCAATGTTCCCATGTATGGTGCAATTCCTAACAAGAACTTCCCAAACTCGTACATTAAAACTAAATGGTGAGCTTTTGATCCATTCAATTACTTTATCATTGGATGATGCATGGCTAACCAAATCAACCATACAAAAATAGTGCTCTTGTCCTGGAACAATCCTGTATCTCTCACTCATCAAATCAAAAAAATTCATCCCTTCTTCAACTAGGCCACAGTGGCAGCAAGCCGTCAAAACCAGAAAGAATGTATTAGCATCAGGCTTCTGTCTTTCATGAATCATCTGAACAAACAATCCAATCGCATCCTGTTCATGACCATGATGACACAGAGCAGACAACATGACATTCCACAACACTGCATTCTTCCTTTCCCTACCTGCTAGGCTGAACACCTCTATGGCACCAGACAAAAAGCTGCATTTTGAATACATGTCAATGATTGAGCTAATGATCATTGCACTTCGATCAAAACCACATCTTAGCAACATTCCATGGATCTGCTGCCCAAGTTTCAGTGAATGCATATTTGCACAAGCACTCAGGCAACAACCCAAGGTGATTTGATCTGGCTGCAAACCTTCCTTCATCAAGTGTTGAAACATATTCAGTGCATCCATTGGCTGCCCATGGCAAACATATCCCTCAATGAGGGCATTCCATGAAAATGCATTCCTCTCTGGCATCTGATCAAAGAGCTGACGAGCGGTAGCCAGTTGGCCATCTTCAGCACAGGAACAAACTACTGTCGTCCACATATGCACATCCTTGATACGCATCTCGTCAAACAGCTTCCTAGCATCATCAACACAATGGCATTTTCTATAAACATCAAGAAGAGAGCTGGCAATTTTCACATCAGACAAGAACCCGAGAACCACCAAATGGCCATGGAATTGCCTGGCAAGCTCCCTATCCATGAGCTGGGCGCCGGCCACAAGGAGCGCCAAGAAGGTGTTATGGCTGTACCCAAGGGAGGGGTACATGTTTCGGAGCTCGGAGTACAGCTCCACAGCTCCCCGCGCTTCGCCGCCACGCCCGAGAGCGAGCATAACAGCGTTGTAAGAGACGAGTTCCCGGTGTAGCATGGAGGCAAAGACCTCAGAAGCGGGTTCTGCGAGTGCCAGGCGCGCGTACCCAGCGAGCATGGCGTTGTAGGAGTGGACCCTGGGGCGGGGCATTTTGGTGAACAGCCGGCGTGCGTCGCGCGGGCGGCCCAGGAGGAAGTTAAGTGAAAGGAGGCGGTCGGCCAGCTGAGTGGAGCAGGGGACGAGGCGCTTGAGGCCCGCGAGGCGGACGTAGAGGAGGAGGCGGCCAGCCAGGGAGGGGAAGGACGGCGCGGCTGGGCGGAGCAGGAGGAGGCTCGCGAGGGAGGTGAGGAGCGGGAACGGCGCGCGCAGGCCGGCGCGAGCGAGGGTGGGCAGAAGGGAGACAGCCGCGGGGGCGTTGCCGGAAGATATACAGCTGTGGAGAGCGGCGAGGAGGCCCGAGTACCGTGGAGGCGAGGCCGGAGGAGACGGCTCGCCGGGGACGGGCATTGGGGTGCGGCGGCCGTGCGGATCGGGAAAGCCAGCAGAGCTCGGGCAGGGCCGCGGCCGCGATGGTGGTTGTTGGATCGTTGCTAGTTCAAATAAACGGACGGCCTTGATGAGTTGATGGACCAATCTAACGGCTATCAATCTGACTCCACGATTCCTAAATCCTGGTCATCTAGTGATGTTCCAACGCGAAGTATCACAAGCACATTCAAATGGGCAAATTGAATTTGGGGTAGCCGTGCCAGTGCCAGGACATTTGTGTTATAGGTTCTATAAAGCTAGGGAAACGCTCTAACCCGAACTTCCGACGCGTCCGAAAATATCAGACGGACTCCAGGCTCATCTGTCCCAAAGACAACCACTAATTTTCTAATTAGTTCTTATTCACACATTTCTCAGCCTCTGCCAGCACTGCCTCCTGCTCTACCTCTTCTTCAAACTCCTCTCATCCTCACTAGGTGAACACCACAACGAGCTCAACCATCCCCATCCTCCTCTCACATTCACCAGGCAGGCACCACGACGAGCTCCTCATCAATGCTCCCATTCCGAGCTACTCTCACCCTCACCACCTAAGCAGTCAAGCGCCTCCCCAGTGGCGGAGCATCACGACGTGTGGGTGGTGCCCGACGAGCTGCGATAACCACGGCTGAGCCCGGCGAGCCATAACACGTGAAGTCGTGCCCCTCAAGGCAAGCGGTGTGGCGAGCTGATCTTCCACCCCGATACATTAGCCTCTCCACATTCGAACTCATGCGTTGCGTTGTTGATGACCTCCACCCTCTTTCTCATCTGGACAGACTACACCCAAGCACTACTTGCTGGCTACTGTAGTTCCCTGCGCTGCGTTGCTGACGACCGCCTCTCTCTCTCATCTGGACAGACTGCACCTGAGCACCGCTTGCTGGCTACCGCAGTACCCCACCAGGTAGGGCCATGGCCACCGGCGATGCCGTGTTTCAAGTGTTTCATCTTGATGTTGGGTATGTTGCAATGGCTATATCCGCATGTTGAAAGGGTATGTTACATGTTGCAAGCTTATGTTACATGTGTTTAAGGTGTTTCAGACGTATGTTTCAAGTGTTTCATCTAGACGTTGCAGAAGTATATCGGATGTTGCATGACATGCATGTTGTAAGTGTATGTTTCAAGTGTTTTAGGTTTTTCATACGTATGTTGCAAGAGTGTTCATCTAGATGTTGCAAAAGTAGATCTGAATGTTGCATATGTTTGCAATGGCTTTCAAGTGTTTTAAGGTATTTTTGCAAGTGTTTCAGCTGTCTCGTATGTTTCAAGTGTTTTATCTGAATGTTGCAAAAATAGATCTGGTGCTGCACATGTTGCAATAGGACCCACCTGCCGCAGCCGCCTACTGCAGCTGCTGGGGTGCCACCGAGCAGGCGCAGACATCCGAGCGGTGCAGGCGATGTCTAGGGCTCTTGCACTACCGATAAAATCTAATGGCATGCTTGCCCGAGATGCGCTCGCCCCCCCCCTCCAAAAAAGAGATGCACTCGTTCCCCCCCCCCCTCATTCTTGAGTTTATATAAACTCGACCAGCGGGGGGTAAGACAGCCCCCCGGCATTATGCTTAAGAAGAAGACCTTCTCACACAGGTCTAGAAAACCCTCGAACCTCTGCCCCACCCATACACAGCGGCACCGCGGCTCCCGTGAGACTGGGCTGGCCTTAGACCTGTGCTTTGGCGTGGGACAGACGAGGAGATTTTTTTCAACGCGCAGATAAACTGCGTCTTCTCCGACCAACAAATCCACTCCCTTGGGGGTTCGAACTCTGACCGGCAGGGTGCAAAGCGCACAGCTAGACCAATTGGTCTAATGTTCGCTTGCCATGAGTTTATATAAACAACTTCATAATTAAATTTTGATATATATATATATATATATATATATATATATATATATATATATATATAGTTTTGGGTTCAAATTATTCAGGGTTTTGAAAACTCCCAATGAATCGTTAAAGGTGGGTTGCACCCCAAAGTACAACTAAGATCCTGTTTGGTGAAGCGCCAGCCACCTATGGCTCCAAACCCTGACTCATTCATGAACCGTAGTTGTATTGTAGTAACGAGTAGTTTTATCCCTTTTTCTCAAAATGGATCAGGAGTCAGTAATTTCAAATTTTTATGGCTTCACCAGCTTCACTTGCGTCTGTGCTTGCGTTAAACTAATAAAACGTCTGTGCTTGCGTATGGCTTTAAACTAATGAATCTACAGTTCTGCTTGCGTTACATCCCTTCTCCTTTTGTAAGGCATGATCAACTTCATAGAAAAATTTAGGCGAAATAGCCACCTTTGTCCCTAAACTATTGCCGGAGGCTCACTTTGGTCTCTCAACTTTCAAAACGCCCAGTTTAGTCCTTAAACAATCAATCTGCGGGTCGATCTTGTCCATCCCCATCAAGTAATCGCCACGTGCCCAGGACTACATGCCAAAAATCATTGCTGCCCCTCGCCCATCCTTTTGGAAGCCGCCTAGGCTTCACGGCGTCCCGTCCACCGTTTCCTCCCCGTTTCCCCTCTTCTCTCGATCTCGTCCATCCGACACCTCAAGTTCCGCGAGAGGAGCCGCCCAGTCTCACGGGAGGAAGAGCCGCGAGAGGAGCAAAGCAGTGTGGGACAGGCGCAGCGTTGGAAGGGGGTGAGGCGCGCCCTTCTGCTGGTGGAGGCGGACACCTGCTCATACGCGACCACGACGCGGGAAGAGGAATGGACGTGCTCCACGGTAAGATGAAAGTGGCATCTAGCTGGTTTTGCGATTTGATTTGTTTTCCTGGTAGAATGTTTCAATTTGACCATATAGTGGATCTTTAGGGCTGCAAAACAATGTCTGAATCTGAGGTACTGTAAGTTCGATTTCATTTTAATGGGGAATTTGTTCTTGATGCGTCCAAGATGTTGTATTGCAATGGGGATTCTGGGGTGTCCCACATAGAGAAGGACAAGATATCTATCCCTGAATTTGAAGGCTACCTATTGGATAACACAACTTTTACTAGATCTGATAGGATGTACCGGTTGCCATACAATGCAGATTTGAATAGTGGAATGAAGTCACTTGGACGTGGAGCAGTAGCGGGACAAAGCAGCTCTTCTCAGAAAAAAACATCAACACGTCTGGTGCATTCAAAGAAAAAGATGTAATTTGAAGGCAATAATATTAATGCCTTTGTATCACGCAATCCTTAGTTTGTGAACACTTAGAATTTGTTAGGCGTTTTTTATGTAAAAAACCTGAGCATCAGACATGAGACATGACAGACATGTTAAATTTGTTTCTGGACATGAGATATGACAGACATGTTAAATTTGTTTCTGCATCCATTCCAATGGTTACACAATGAACCATAGGCCACAAGCAATTACAATGCTAAAAACAATTAAGATTACAATGCAATCTTGTTGCTCTCTAATTGTTCGTTTCAATTTACAAATTTCTTGTTTCGCTCTCTGTCGATCAGCATACATATCATCCCATTATTCAGCTGATTGTTGGTACAGCTCTAACATACTGTGCCTCATTGAAACTAAGTCTTGAATCACCTTTTTTGCTCTACCTTCAAATTCTTCATCTATCCAATACTGGAAAGCACAGGGTTCCTCAACTTGCGCCTGCCCCACACTGCTCTGCTCCTCTCGCGGCTCTTCCTCCCATGAGACTGGGCGGCTCCTCTCGCGGAACCTAAGGCGCCGGATGGACGAGATCGAGAGAAGAGGGGAACGGGAGGAAACGGTGGACGGAGACGTCGTGAAGCCTGGGCGGCTTCCAAAAGGATGGGCAAGGGGCAGCAATGACTTTTAGCATATAGTCCTGAACATGTGGCGATTACTTGATGGGGATGGACAAGATCGACCCGCAAATCAATTATTTAAGGATTAAACTGGACGTTTTGAAAGTTGAGGGACCAAAGTGAGCCTCCGGCAATAGTTTGGGGACGAAGATGGCTATTTCGCCAAAAATTTATGTGCAATTTCAGATAATTTACAGAGGCGCATTACGATCCCAATACAACGAAGAAAAAATAGATTATCCCTGAAACCGAGGGAATGAGGAATAAGATTGATTGCGAACCAGAGAGATTCCTTTGTTAGTGCTCATATGCGAATTTCAGCAGCTGCTTCACACGATTCTGTACCTGCAACATGTCCAGATTACTGCTGTATTCGCTGAGATCATGGGGCGCGCCACCATAACAACTCATTTGCAATATGCTAAACTACATTGAAGCGACTTCCTATGCTTCAGAAGTCAGAACCAGTACATTGACAGCTGACGGAGATGAAGACTTGCCTCGTCCACAATGCTTCAATTGGGTTAACCGAACATAGGTACCACGAAAGCGTAAAAGCAAGTTTTATAGAACGACGATTAGACCCGCTATGTTGTATGGAGTACAACGTTGGCCTACAAAAAGACGACATGTCCAACAACTAAGTGTCACGGAAATGCGTATTTTACGCTGCATTTGTGGTCACACAAGGATAAACCAAGTTCGGAACGATAATATACGTGCGTATTTTGCGCTGCATTTGTGGTCACACAAGGATAGACCGAGTTCGGAACGATAATATACATGACTGTCCAGGGATAGCACCAATTGAAGAAAGCTTGTCCAACACCAGTTGAGGTGGTTTAACCATGTCCAAAGGAGACCTTCAGAGGCACCCGTGCATTGTGGAGTTATAAGTCAAGATATCAATGTGAGGAGAGGTAAAGGAAGACCAAAGCTGACAAAAGGGAGGCAATAAAAAAAGATTTGAAAGATTAGGACATACCTAGATATCTTTGTTTTGATAGGAGTGCTTAGAAAGCATATATTGATGTGCCTGAACCGTGACTATGGTTTATGTTGGGTTTCAACTCTAGCCTACTCCAGCTTGCTTGTGACTAAAAGGCTTTGTTGTTTGTTGTTATTGTTGTTAGGGAACAAGGCTTCAACAATAAAATACCAGGTGGTCAACAAATTTCATCAGCAAATATAATGTTGAATATGGACTGGACTGCAAAATAAAGAAAACAGATTGTAACACTCAATCATGTAATTAGACAGATGAAAAAAATGGAATCATTGAAAGTATAACCAGACAAGCTATTTTTTATTCTTTTTTTTCATTCTGCACCTTCATCTTTTGGAATGTTTGGCTGGTCTACAAAGAGTTGACGTAGTACAGCAGTGTCACTGGAACTGCAAATGAAAAGATCACCATGATTGCTCTTGCTAATAAAATACCAACGAAAATGTATGAATTGCATGTGGTCTAAATACTAAATTAAGAAGAAAAAAAAGCATCACTATCACCTATAAGAAACTCGACAGAGAATGAATTCCAGAAAGGACAAATCAATGAGTGTTTAAGAAAACCTGAATGGCAAAACCATTGAACTTGCCTGCTCTTCCAAGTCAGCAAGGAGATAATTGATTATTTTAGTGTAACCCTGTCCAATGGCAACCAGGATAAGTTCACAGCAAAATAAAAGGAGGACAGATTTTACTGCAGCAAAGCTAAGATTAGATGAACATGTGCTGTCACTCCTGTGAGAGTAGTGCCAGGACATATGTCTGTGACGTCTTAAAATATCAGTATAATGGAAGAAGATAAATCATGTCTGAATTGGAGGATTAGCATACAACGATTAGAAGTTGGGTGCAGCTCTATTATCAACTGAGAATATTTTAAACCAACATGAACTGAACTTCTTAGTCGCATTTATTGATATGGTTGGATTGAATCATAAGAAATCTGGTCAAGAAAAATGATCTTGTGGAAACACAACTCAAGAAGCACCAACATAACAATAGCATAGTTATATTAAGACCAAATGCAAGCTATAAATTGGAAGGGGCCTAAGCATAATTCCATTCTTACTCTGCCTGGTGCATCTCACATAACGTTTGAAATCCATCCAAGCATTCTGCAATCGTTGGCAAAATTCCCACTGTAACTGCATCTGTTTTGCCATGAGTGCTGACCCACCTCTCACCATCTGCTTGGTATCACGCAGTGCCTTATTTAAAGCTTTCACAATGCCATTGAACTTCTCCCTAAATAATTGGCAGCGTTGTTGTCAGACCAACTTGAATTAAAATTTTCCCTTTGTTTGTTCACACCAAAATTGAAGGAAACTGAAAATGTAAAAGTAAAGTAGCTTACAGTGTCTCCCTAGCATTAACGACAATGAGCTCCAGAACCTCCATATGGTTCCCCATGAGGTCCTCTCTGATGTTGGGCACACCTCCAAGGGCCTTTATCAAATGACACAAGCAATCAAACTTAGGTTCCTCTACATAGTTGAGAAGCTAAAATGACAACAGTACAACACAACCACATGCCACTGCAAGTTATAAATTTTTCACAGAATTCTCAAAGATACAAGCAAGTAGCAACTTGCCGTCTTATGCGAATAGCAAAACTGCAGACCACCAGTAGTTAACAGAATAACCAAGGATTCTATGAAGCCCCAAAATTTGCTATTGCAATCTCAGAAAAGTGCTGCACAACAATTACGGAAGAACAGTCTCAAACTGCATCATGGTTGTTAAACCTTGAGCTGGCAAACTGGCTGTCACGAGTTGGAACATGGGACTGCACGAGAGGATGATCCAAGAAGGTACCTGAAGGCGAGAGATGACCGCGCCGGCATTGGAGAAGTAGGAAAGGAGGCAAGTGTTTAGGTCATCCCACTGGTCCATCTCCTCCTATGCCTTCCTCACACGCTGCTGCACCTTCCGCACCACCGCCTCCATCTAGTTGTTTGCTTTTTGTTCGGCTTTCACTGTCCCCCAATGGATTCTTGAAGCCTATGGCATAGATGCCCAGCTCCCCTCTGGACTATGGGAGCCTCGCGGAAGTGTGTCAAAGGGGATAGAACTGGAGACAAGTTGCAACACAGGATTTCAGTGCAGAGCATGATTAGCCAATTCTCCAATATACAATTCGGTATCCAATACACAACTTGGTAACACAACTACAAAATTTGCCATGCAATTCAGTAGAAAAGTATAAAATAACTATGATAAAATTCTGAAAATAACAATGTCATAGGAGCGAACTATTCTGACAATAGTGCTAACATAGATCTCCTCCCTACAGGTATGAACCTAGACGCCAGCATGCCCCTAGACACACAGGATTATTTCCAACAGATGATCAATGAGTGAGACTGAGAGATGCATCGGTGGAACCACTGTGCTTTACCTAATAAGCAACTAAACAATAATTAAACATTTTACATGGTGGAATATTTTTTCTATCAACTAAAACCTTTTATGGAACAAAATTGTCCTACTAGGACTAGAACAACTATTTGTTTTATGAGAAGGAAAACACATTTGCGAAGAGGAAAGAATATTCTAGAGGACGAACAAAAAATGTCCTAGTGTGAACGGATGTGGCTGCTTGATGCTGCAAGCTGTATATACGATGCATAAATATAGGGCCAATGGCAAACCGAAGAATTGTTCAAAACTAGGGCCACTTCCAAGTAGCAAAAGCTACCTTATACATCACAAATAGAAAATAGATAAAATGAAGGAAAATTTTACCCCTTATCTGTCACACATAGAGAAAGAGCTAAAGGGAAGAAAAAATTTCTAATTGATATGATGCTTGAACTATATGCTTAATAGTGCACTAAAATTGTCAAGAACATTACATATAAGATGCCACGGTCTTGGTCCTCTTCATTGTAAATATAATGTGTAGATTTAGATTGATGATTGTACCTACAATTCTCAATTCAACTTAATAGATGCTACTACAAATGATTGGAATTGGAAATTGGAGTAGTCGAGTAGTAGAGAGAAATACCTCAAATTGGATCTGGAGCAGCCGAGCAGGCGTACTCTCCTAGCACTGAGGCTGGGCTGCCGGAGAACGGAGGGGTGCTGCCGTGCACCGTGCTCGCGTGCTGCGGCCTACGGGTTACGGCCTGCGGGCTGTGGCGCAACCACACAAGACATCCGGGGCAGCGCGTTTCTTCTCATGCCTGAACCCTGCCGCGGCGGCTGTGCCGCCGGCCTGCTCTCCACGTAAGGGCTAGCAGTAGCAGCCGATCGCCCCGCTGGCGAGCAGAGCTGCGGACAGCCGAGTGCTGAGTGCGTCAGGGGCTCAGGGCGGACAGATTCGTCGGATGCAGCACTCCGGTAGCCGGCGAGCAGTGGGCGGCGGCGGATCGATGCGGATGCGCCGGGGGTCGGGCGCCGGGCGCTGTCGCGTGGAACGAGAATAGACTAACAACTACTCCGTAATTAAGTTATTGTAATAAAACCAAAGTAAAAAACAAATATGAAAAGAAGATTCTAATAGTGACCAAATTAAATGGGCGAGAAAGCTCATGAAAATTTTAGCAAAAAAAATATGAATAGTATTCATCTTCGTCAGCCTCTCCCCTCTATAAAAGGAGATGGAGGATGGCCGAAAGACATCATCCTATAACATAAGTGTATACACTTCATGTATCGAAACAAATCTAGAAATAAAAGGCTTATTTCCTCTCTCAGTTCTAGTTTTTGTTCCTGCATCTGTTCAATCCAACTAGTTTATCAATAATTATAACTTTTTCTATAAATCTAGATATACATTACGTCAAGATACATAATAAGATATGTAAACATCTCTTGAGTACCATCGTGATAATACATAATACACCTCGTAAATACTATGAGAACAGCCGTGTTATATTCTCTCACAACGAAAAAGAGTAAAATGTGGACATTGGTTTCGTGCAACAAACCATCGCCTCGTCGGTCTGCCTTCCCGTGATCCCCTGCCACTCGCCGCACGACGGTGAGTCCATGAAGCGCAAGGGAGGGGAAAAAAAAAAAAAAAAGGCAACACAATAAGGGCAAGGAATTTTGCCTTCCTACAATCCTACTTCGCCCTCGTCTGATCGGCCGCACTCCTCATGCGGTGGATTTGGCCTTACTTTTCGATCCCTCTTTCCAGTGCCGTCACCACCGTACGTGAAGTCCCTGCATCGTAGCAACTGCGTCGACTAGTGCTGTCAGGCTACGCCCCCGCCACCAGTCCGCGTCCTCGCACCACCGTCACAGATACCTCGCACCGGACGTCGCGCGCCACCCACCATTGGCGCCGCCCTCGCCCTCGCCTTGCGGTACGTGGAGCCTGCAACAGATCGACGATCGTGGTGCACCCCACACCCACTGTACAATCGAGCAGCAACAGATCGACGATCCTCACCACCTTTACTTCCTCCTCACCGCGCCACCTGTCTAGGTTCTCCCTCCCTCCCTCCCTCCCTACTGTTCATAATCCTCAAGGGCCTACTATTCATGATCCGGCATGCGCACGAGAGTGTGGCCAGCGTACTTGGTCTAGTCGAATCATCGTTCTGTCGGGAATTAGTAGGGTTTCTCTAACTCTTGACCTTGGCTCTCCTTGCTCTGTGCGATCCTCTCGTGCCTTTGTTTTGCGTTGCGTGCCTGCACTTTGGCAAAAAAAAACAGAATCCAAAAAATATCTAATTACATGTGTGTTGTGCCGTAGTTAGAAATCAGTTACTGCCTAACTGCTTGTGGACTGCTGAACGCTTTCACTGAATACGTACGCTGTTGCCAAGGCCAATGAGAGATCAGTCCAAATGATAAGCTCATAGCTTTGTTGCGTGTTGTGGCCCTCAGTTAGTCAGGTTGGCTGTTGCTCAACCATGATTGTATGAACTATACAGTGGTTGCCAAGTAATCATCAAATTTAAACATGTGTTGTATTACATGAGTTCGCTAATCATCAATATTACATGAGTTCACACATAGCATGAACAGTTAGAATATAAAATTCCCAAGTTTTATTATGAACAAACAAAAACATAAGCAGGTGTGTGTGCTTTAAACTAATCATAGTATAGATAATCATTGTTTTGAATTAATTGGTTCTATTCTGTAAACATGAATTCAACATAGTTTGAAAGATACTCTTTGCTTTCTCTTCAATTCTGGTTGCTATTGAGGAATTTGTACTGCATATGCAGCTAAGTTGTGGCTCCCTCGGATCAAGGCTTTCAGGCTTTTAAATCTCCACTCCTACAGGTGTGTGTGCTATTTGTTCTCATTCCTATCTAAATATTTTTTGTTGGCACGTGCAAAGTATATGAATTATGTCATCACATGGTACAGTTAACATCCGCATACTATTTATTTGGAATATCTCATTCAAGGCCTTAAAAACATATAATATTTGCTGTGGAAGTTCTGCTCATGAATTCAAGATGTTGCAACTTTTCACAGTGCAATTTTAGGTAACTTATAAAGCTCACTGGATAAAGAATGGCATTCGAGGAGGTTTTGAAGACATTAGAATGTCATACCTATCGATTTCAACCAGAGACCTAAGTTTCCTTCCAGTAGGAGAGGTATAGTATTTGAAGGCAAATAGAAGAGGGTTACACAAACATATTAAGTTCAGAAAATGTAGTAAAAAATGTGCAACTTTGTATGTCCCACAGGTCAATAATTTTATTCACGATGCTGCAGTCGTGCATGTCTAAATTTTTTCAAGATCCATGATATTTTGGAGAACATTTTGGAAAAAATCATAATGTTCCGACCAAAATGCATAGCACACTCGTATAAGCAGTTATGTTTTATGTTATTTTCTCTGTCATTAATGACAATTTGAAAGGAAAGATGACAGCCATAAAAAGTGGAACCAAATTGTGTTGTGTAGGATCTCTGGTTAGCCTAGAGGAGGGGTGAATAGGCCTGTTAAAACAAAACTTGAACTTTTGTCAAATTCAATCCGCGGCACTGCCACTCTATGCTCACGGCACTGCCGCTATGCGGCATTGCTGAGCTAGAACAGCGGCACTGCCGCACCTGCTGACAACTTTGAGATAAAATTTAAAATCAGTGAAAGAAAACTTGAATCCAAGAATTTACTGAGGTCCCTACATGTGTGTAGAATACAGATCGACAACGAGAAATGGTAGGAACACTACACACAAGTAGATCGACCACGAACCCTAGAAATCACCTCAACAACAATATGAATCACAAGAATGTAAAGCAAGTACACGATGACACAATGATTTATCCCATGGTTCAGGTCGCCACTAAGGCTTGCCTAAGTCCACGTTGTTGAGGTTAGCCACTAAGGCTTAGGACTTTCCAACCCTTCCTTGTTCTCAAGTCAAGAGACTTAACTCTTGAGATGAGGGGTGAGTTTACTAACTGCAAGAGTTGGTTACAAACCTCCCGGAGCTACCACAAGAGTTGACAAGCTCCACAGGTGATGCCCTAGTCGGCTAGGAGCCAAGCTCCAAGAGTAACAAACACAACCGCTGGCCAAAACGTAAACCAAGTGCTCTTTAGAGTTTGAAAATCAGTGGATCTACTCTCTAATCGAGTTTGGCACCTTTTTCTCTTAAGGATTGATGGAAAAATCAATGAAAAAGCTTGGGAGCTCAAGGTCACCAATGGAGGAGAGAGAGAAGAGCACTTTTCAGCTTCTGCACGAACTGAACGGTTGAGTGAAGAAGAGAGACGTTGGAGGAGAAAGAAAAAGTACAAATATCCCCTGCTCCCAATGGTCACTTAAGTCATGGCAGTGCCGCATAGTGGCAGTGCCTCTCTTTAGGTGCGGCACTGCCGCACCAGGCAAGACAGTAAAGGTAAAGAATAAAGTGCTAGCTATCTTGGCTAAGTAACTGAGGATGTAAGTAATAGATTAAGCACTT